TATTTGTAAATACATACATATGTTTGTGCATATTCGAAGGCATATTCTTTCACACTTTATTTTTCTGTACATTTTTTTCCCGGCCGGCTGTATACGTTCTTCTAACCTAAGCTGAAACACATTGTCTCTGCCGACTAAATTGTTTTATTTCTGTTTTTTTTTCTTTTTTTTATGTAGACATTTCAAAGCAAAATACGAATACGGGGGAAATATATATCTGTACAGGCAGGCAGTCGAAGTACTTACATTTTTGTTTTGCGCATTTTTATTTTGTTTTTGTATTCTTGTACGATATCTCTACCAAAAGCAAGTTAATTGCCACATTACTGCTTGCCTGTATTTTTGTACCCATTTATCGTACATACGCAAGCAAAATTGCTTCACACACAGTAAGCATTGAATGGTGTGAGTAAAAAAATCCCAAAGCTCACACAAAATACAAATGCAAAAACTGGTTTGTATGATAAATAAACGAAAACTGGTTTCATTGATGTGTTTGTAGACTTTTGAATTTCACAACAAAATTAAATTCTTTTCGAGACTGACGTGAACGTTTTGGCTTTTCTACTTATCGGTCTGTGAAGCAAATCACTAGTGAAAATAAAATTTGTATTCACATTTTTAAAAGTAAAGTGAAGCAATTCGCTTGGTGTTTTCTCTGTGAATAACTTGTACATTTTACAAGTTGAAAATAATATCAAATAAATTATAATAGAAATAGTGTTTTCTTAAAAAAAGGCATTTAGTGCCAATATCAAAAGGAAATTTTATTAAAAAAAAAGTAAATTGTAGAAAAGCAACAGAAATATAATAATTTCTTGCATATAAATACCTACATACATACGTGCAAGCGTTATATTTAATTAAATTAAAGTATATATCTTAAAAAACGGTTTGTATTGGTGGTAGGATTAGCCACCAATTGCACCGCGAGACGTAAAAAAGAAGTAAATTTTCGGTCGACTTTTCGTCGTTGGTCGGAAAAACAACCAAAGGCATAGGGACGCATCTGTCGAGTTTACGTAAGTATTGCTATTTTTAAACTAAACACGTCACCTAATATTGTGTGGGTAGGGGGTAGCAGCAGCAGCAGGTCAATGGGTCGAGATATATATTTTCTCTAATAATAAATTACGCAGTTATAAAATACTTAGGTTTTTAAATATTATATCAGCATACGTTCAAACATACATACATATATACACAAATGTTCCTATAAAAATGAACTTATAATTGGCGTACTTATACATATGTATGCCTTAATATATACATATGTACATACTTAGATACATTGTAAATGAATTTCTTAAAATAAACTTTAATTATTATATTGAAGTATCCATATGGTATATGTATATTTTATAAATTATAAAGTATTAATTTGCATAAAGTTAAAATTCGCAGTAATTTTATTAGCGAAAGCTTTTTTAATTTGCACTTTGGCAATTTAGATAGCTGGCCGCCATTTTATAAACTAAACACAATGAATTCTCAGAAATCGCTATATTTTTACCATATCTCACTGTAGATTGAATATATTAGTACATACATACTTACATACAAATATATGTATACACCCCGCAACAATTGAAAACATGTCGGAACGTGAATCGACAAATATTAATTTGTGTTGTTTTTGTTTTTCTGCAAGTCAAGTTGATTGCTGTTGATAAATAAATAATCAAAAGTTTATATGTGTTAGTGTAAACACCATTATAACATACATATGTGTAATAAAATAAATATATACGTTTACATATACACCATACATGAATAGCAATTAAAAGCTCTGGCTGATATTATAACGTAAATAATTGTTGCTATACAAAAAAAAAGTAATTATTTTATTTTTGTGAATTCAATTCAATTCCCGATAAAACCATCAATCTGAAGTGCTTGTCAGAATTTAACAACTGATATATCAACTAAAGTAACACACGGGCTAATTTAGTAGTGTCACATGCCTCAGTTACAAACCAGTACGCTAACATGCAACTTATGTGAATAAATTTTCGCTTGCACCCAACAAGTGAAAAAAAAAACCCAACATTTAGTTTTTATAACGATAAGGAACAAACTATAGAATCAAACGGTTCTACGCCCAATCACTCGTCTTTCAAGACAACCAAGTATACCATGTTGGGGTTGGCAAACTCTTCCAAGAACAAACTACATATAGCATTCCAAACAATAACAAGCTATAATAAGTAGTTTTAAGCTATATTAAAGAATATATTTTGTTTATTTCCATTATATTACATTTAATTTTAACTTAAAATTTTATTTAGAAAATATAAACATTTTATTTTGATTTAAAAAAAAATTTTAAATGATGTTTTGGTTTACAGAATTTCATTTCCATCATACAAATTATCTTAAAATATTGCCAACTTAAAAATACGATATATTGCACTACAAACGTTTAATCTACTAATCACATCTTGAGGCTGACTATATTCAAATTAAATACCTTTTTATAAAAAATTGTTTAGAACAATTAAACGGTATATTTAGATTATATTGTAATAATAACACTTAATAGAATTAGAAATTACAAGGGTTTTGGGCTGTCAGGGGATCTTAGAAGACACTTACTATTTCAACCGGTCAGAATTCATTTTGTTGGGATTGTGTAATATAAAGTGGTAAAAGAGCTCCTCCTGGCCCATTCTTTTACTTATGACCAAAATAAAATGAGGGATTCTAATAAAAACACATCTTGTTTTTGCTAGAAGTCTCATCTTATAACAACGCACTGTTTAAAAGTTTCATTTTTATATAAGGATGCTCTGTTTAGATATTTTATCTTCTTCTTATCAGGCTCTGGTCTCAACTCTCATTTCTTTTTAAGCGAGGTCTGCTTGGAAGTCTCATTTCCTTCTAAACAGGTCTTGCTTAAAAGCCTTGTCTTTTTCTTAGCAAGCTCTGCTTAGAAGTTTCATTGCTTTCTAAGCAGGCTCACTTTATAATCTCATCTTCTTACAAGTAGTCTTATTTTCTTCTAAGCAGTCTGTGCTTAGAACATCTATTTCATACTATAAAAAATTTACTCAAGCTAGTACTTATTTCAGCACCCATTTTTAGAACAAAAGGTATTTTTTTTAGTACTTTTATAAATGTATAAGTTCTTTTTAGTACAACTATATGGATATGTGTATATGTTATACATAGATATATGTTTGTATTTCTATCTAAAACTTTATTAATGTTTGCGTGCCAATTATCAAAAAAAAAGCTTTTTTAATTGTTATTGTAAAATGCCCCGTCATTGTGACATTTAAAAATTTTAATGTCGCATGTATACAACAATATAATTATCCTATCCCTCTACATAAACACATATGTATGCAATGTGTTATTAATTTAATTGTTTCTGTATTGTATATTGTGTGTATGTAAAGTAATTGCAATATATCTTATCAGTTCGCAACATGTAAAATTGTCACTAAAATTAATTTGAAATTACAATAAATTTGTAGTACCGTGTGCAAAATTCATGTATTTGCCATTTAGTAGAATATATATTCCTAAACAAAATGCCGATAATAAGCTATTGTTAGATAAATTAACCATTTCACTTAGAATTTATATAAATACATACGGTTTGGGCAAAGGTTTCCATTATCAGTAAATTAACAAACTATACTAAAATATTTGACGCCAGTTAAATCCGTTCTGTTTAAAGTATGCATTTGCATTTACCATCAATAATTTTTTAATATAACTTACATATCTATATAGTTTTTATAAAACGTAACTTGCTTTTAAATCAACTATAAAGTCCTTGTATGACTACCTTTCCATAAGGAAATATATGTATGTATATGTTTATATTTATAACTTTAGTTTTTAAAAAAAAAATATTTTATATATTTTGGAAAGTGATATTGCCAGCTATACTATATTTGTATATTAAAATATAAAACATAAATAGATATTTAACAACATGGTGTTTATTAACATACTTCATGATATCATGGCTAGTACAGTACATAGTACTGTCTTCACTGCCATAAATATTAATACCATTTGCACTAACAACAACTATTGTTGGCTACTGCCGGTGTTTACTCAACTCATAATATGCAAACCTAATATCAAAATATAAGAGACCACTATGAAATTTCATCAAAAATCAAATTTATAATAATTTGGAAAAAATTGTGCATTGCATGCACACAAAGTCAATCATATATTTTAGAAAAATGTATACAAAAAGCAAAGACTATTTCTTTGAATTTGTGTGTTTGTGTGTCCATTCAACACTAACTACTATTGAACGCCCTTTCCTCTCTATTTCCTTTTAACCCAAAAGAAACCAAATTTTGTAAATATAGAAACAAAAAATTGCACTTCATTGCCCTTTCGTCTTGATGCAGCAAAACTATGGAAGCATAAGTTCGCAAAACAGAAAATTGTCAACATATAAATCACACAAGCACCCAAAATAGCAATATGAATAGAAAATATAGCAACAATTTCTATACTATATCACACACCTTCTCATATGCACATTCAACAGCTCTTTCGTGTGTTTCGAACACTTAAGATCATTGTGTTATACGCAGCTTTGGTTTGTTTTAAGTGTTCTACAATTCAAAGCTGATTGTGCTTTTAGCTGGATACTCGAGCTGGCTACCATAAAATCAAAGGGGTCCATTTTTTTGTTCTGCATTCGCAATCTGTATAATGAGCAGAACTTAATCTGACCAAGGAATCGCCTTCTAAACTTAAAGCACTACAATGCAAATCAACCCGTACTTAAAATATTTTAATATTTTAATTTATCTAAGAACACCCATTAAAATACTAAAAGAACATTGTGTGTCTATAAAAATATATTTATAATTTTTTACTTAGATAAATAAATATTAAATATTAACCGCATAAACTTATTTAAAGATCATTTATTATAAAGAAAAAATTACAATATTAGTATTATTAAAAACATTGCACCTTTAAATGGAAAATAAAATATGCTATTATTTTTTTTATTACAGTCTGAAGGGAAAACGCGTCTAAGACTCTTTTTAGAGCTTGTTTAGAGCTTCCCTTACAATTTCATTGTTTCTTTCTAACGGCGAATTAAAAGTAAGTAATATTTATTGGATATGTACATACAAAACCATTTCATTATCATAATATAATTTTAAAATATCATAAATATATTTATACTTATATTACATTTAAGATTCAAATAATTTAAAAATTCTAATATATTTTATATAGAATGAAAGAAGATTGACAAGAGAATTTTATATTGTAAAAAAATAATTAAATATTAAAAATAATATTATATATTAAAATATGCAAAACTTAATATTAAATACTGTGAAGAAAGTTTTAAAGTTTTCGAAAATTTGTAAAATTATTAGAAATAAAATTAAACTAAAATTTAGAATATATGTTTTATACGATCACTTTTACTTAATTATCTAAAAAAAATTAAAAAGTATATATATTAGTGTGTATGATACTCTGAAAAGAAGAAAGTAATTTTTTTGTATTTATTTAAATTTAATTTGAATTTAATCCATTAAAATATTTTTTTTTAATTTAAACTATATAATTTAATTAAATTTTAAATAAAAAATATAAAATAAAAGTAAATTGAAAAATATTCTTAATTTTGAACTTGATTAGAATCTATGGGCTGACTGCCAAATATTTTTCTTTAAAAGTTCTAATGACAAATGTTTGTTTATAGTAGCTGAAGAGCTATATAGTGAGACTAAGATTGTTTTTAGTTGTGCTAAGTTGTTTTTAGTTCAATTTTTTTTGAACTTATATAAAAATATATTTTATAGTTTTTATTTTTGATTTATTTTACATAGCTTTTTTTCATATAACAATAACTTTTATTTAAGTTGAGTCCTTTAAAAAGGCTTTCTGAACTTATATAAAATACTATTTTCAATTTATTTTTGTTTAATTTCATATAAAAAATTTTTCGAACTTTGGCAGTTTTTTTGAGTTTTTTATCAGAGCGGAGTATGATTCATATATATTGAGATATTGACTTAACAAATAGGCGACATGCAAAAAGAAATACTTAGTGAGACTAAATATTGTGAAGTTTGCATTTAGAGTAGATATTGCCTATGAGGCACTTTATTTTTTCAATCATTTTTGTTTTATTTGTTTTAATTGACTTATCGTATAAAAACGATGACCTAATCATTTTGAATAAAATTAATTGTTATATATTATAATTTTGAAGATATCATAGAGCAGGCGTAGCCATAATATAAGCAATACAGATGTTTATCTGTAGCATACGTAAGTAATCAATACTTTTACTGTCTACCAATTTTGCTTAGTCTTTAACATTTTTTATATTCATCTGACATTTATTGAAATAATGTAATGTAATTTTTAAACCAACTACTAGTAAGTTAGATAAAGATAGTTTAAAAATATGGTGTATTCTTTGGACAAGTAATATCCCGGTAGATAGGATACTTACTCATTTAATATTTTCCAGTAGCATATTTCTTGTCACTCCAAAGATTTAACTCTTGAAAATAAGTTAATCCATATAAAACGCAGGGAGTTTACCTCATTCATCTGTATATTTACTGTATTTAAATCTATCTATTTCTATTTATTTCGTGAGTATAGATATAATACTTAATTAAATTTACTATTAGCTAACAAAGTATTTTTATATAAGTACAGGTTAGATTTCATCTATTTATATTATCATTTAGAAAGGAAAAACTTATAAACTAGGTCTTCAAAAATAAAATGGAAACATTGATAGGAAACAAAAGTGTAGTTTACGCATTTCTATATAGATAATTTTAGATTATACAAATATAATAATATAATAATATAAATATATATTTGTACTAGCGAAATAATTTATTTTTGTTTTTAATCAAAAAAATTTTATTATAAATAGGAAAATATATTAAATTATTTATTTATTATTATTTAATTTCTTGAAAGAAATTCTGTAAAGATTAAGTTTAAGTGATCGTATCTTAAAACATTTAATATAAAGTTTACTATGGCATACGTTATATTATCTAGGCACATAAATTGTGTAACAAAATTCGATGTTAAGAAATATCTTATATAAAATGTGAAAAACCTATTCATTACATTTTTAAAAATAAAAAAATATTTAAATATTATTTAAAAAAAAAATTTTGCTATTTGAACAGTGCAATGACTAATACTAGAAAAATTAAGCATTCCTGCATTAGGTTTTTCCCATTTTAATAAAGGTGAAAGATAGTTAATCGTTTGATTAGATACAAAATTTAATAAAAGTTTTAAGCAAAAAATGTATTTTAATTTTTTCAATTATAAGACTAATGTAAATGAAGTAATAAAAAAATGTGATAAACTTAAGTTACAATATTTGGAAATTTTCAAAATTTATATTATAATTCAATTAACAAAAAACAATTAGAAAAAAAATTCTTACAAAATCAAACTAATTTTTTTAATATAAACAATAAATATGTAGAAGTAGACGGCGAAGGTTAAAAGTAGAATTTTAGAATTACAAAATAATTTTTTTGTTTTTATTTTATAAATAAATTTTAAAACTAAATTTATAATTCAATAATTAAGAAATTTTTTGTTGTATATTTAAATTTTTAATTTTTTATTATAAAATTTTATTGTACGTTATCTTAAAAAAATTTATTATAACTAAATTTCTATTAATTATTTTCTATACTACTTATTTTTTATATTATATAAATTTTTATTTTAATACACAGTTTTTTGTAAATTTACTTATCATATGATATTTAAATAACATTATTTTGTCTACTATATGACATTATGTGCACTATAGATATAATTAAATTAATTGTTAAATATAACTCTAAAAATATGATATACGTATTTTGGTTATATATTATTAATATTGGGTATTTCTATTAATTGAGAACCGATCTAATTTATTGTATAAACCTGTTAACGTCTTATATATAATAAGTAATATTAAATTAGATTAAAAATTTTACACTTGAGAAATGATTACCTTCATTATTTGTATGTATATTTATATATGTATAAACAATTTTTTTTTTATATAGAATAAAATAATAGAATATCTTTTATTCAAATATCTTTTTTTTCAAGCTTTATTTAATCCTCAGAATCTTAATGATAATTGATTATATTATATTATATGTTATTTTTAATATATCTTACGAGTTATCTTATCTAATTTGTCTTTAAATTTCTTAATAAATGGACCTATGTTATAACTGTAAGTGATGTAAAAAAAAATCGAAAAAATAAAAAAAAATCCACACAAAAAATAAAAAAATCCAAACGAAAAAAAATTAATAAAAAAAAAGGAAAAAAAATATAAAAATACGGAAAAAAAATATAAAAATACGGAAAAAAAATTATAAAAAAAAAATTATAAAAAAAAAATGAAAACAGGAAAAAAAAACAAAAAAAAAAAAAAAAAAAAAAAAAAAAAAAAAGATAAAAAAATAACAAAAAAGAAGACAAAAAATAACAAAAAAAAAGATAAAAACAATAAAAAAAAGGTTAAAAAAATTAAAAATAAAAAATCCCAAAAGAAAGAAAAAACGAAAAGAAAGATGGACATCAAAAAATTAAAAAAATAAATACAATAAATAATATATACTATAATCAAATATTGTCTATGTTTAAATAAAATTACAAAAATTAATGTGATAATATTTAAAACGTCTGTATATGATATTAACTTGTAAGTTCTCTTTTGAAATATAGTAGTTGACAGTTTCCTTTTAGTTAATTTTGTTCAGTTTTATGATCAGTTTTTTGAAAAATAAAATATCTTGATGTAAACATATATATTTAGTATGCGTTTGAATAGACTAGGCTCCTATTTTATAAGTAGAATTAGTCTATTCTACCTGGTTCTATATATTTTTCAAAAAAATTGGTCAAATTACTGTTTAAAATCGACTCTTAAATTTTAAGTTCGACCGAAAAAAAAATCCCAATTATAACATACTTACACTTTAATATTATATATAAAAAAATATTTCTTTTAAGAAAAATGTCAGAAATTTCAAGGGTTAAATTTATTTTTTGTCTTGAATGAATATTAAAAAGAAATATATATACGAGTATATGTATATAAGATAATGCTACACTAAAGGAATAAAATATGTAATATATATATATATATATAGAACTACTACATAGAAAAAGTAAAACATATTATGATATATACGTATATATATAGAAATATTGCAAAAAATAAAAAATATAACACAGCATTATTAAAAAAAGTAAAAATCAAGACAAAAAAATATAAAATAACTTTTGATAATAGAAATTTAGCATTTTTTGTGTTTTATCTTTATCTTTAAAATCTAACCTCGTACATCTTTAAATAAAAATATGAAGGTTGAAGGAATAATTTACACTCTAGCAGATCTGTACATGGGTAAATTTGTCATCATTGCAGCAGTAACCAAAATATTCTCTTCCTTATTGCAGCATTTTTATACCACCAGGGGTCCTGTATTTTAAGCGGCTGAACTAGACAGAAGATACACCTTCGTGGCAGAGTTTACTATTTCTGTTCGATTAGGACCTGTATTTAAAATGGGTTCAGGTGTCTATGGGACTAATTTTTGGGTTATGGGAACAACGGAATACTTTTAAGGGTCATATAAAAAAAGTAATACGTAAATATGGGAAAAAACCATATTCTACATCGATGCATATAATGTTAACCAATTATTCACATTAATACACATTGTAAAATTATAGAACCAAAAATGAAAAGAGAAAATGTTATTGTAATTTTTAACTAAAATTGTAAAAAGTATTCAATTGAATGAATAAAATTGAATGCATAATTTGTATAGGAAAGACTTTGTACAAACTCTTGTCAGCGAAATAATGACATTCATACTCAGAAATCATAGGCATATATCATTGTTAAAATAAATATGTACATACCATTTTTACTCTTATACGAAGAGACAATAGTTAGATTACTTTACATCGCTTTTATACAACAAATAATATTTATTTTCTTTTATCTATTTTTTTCTTCCACATAAAACGCGTTTGCTCCACTCATTATCAACGAACTTGTCAATAAAACGAAAAAATACACTTAATAAAAATAAAATCTGTACTTGTTATATTAAAACATTGTTCTAAATCCGATAAAATCTAATACGAATTTTTAAATAAAATTAAATAATTGATAGCCCCGTTCAAAATGGCATTCACTGTTGAAGTCCAATCATGCCAATCTAGGCCACAAAGCGATATTAACAACAACGTCAACTCAACCGTCGACAATAATCAATACCGAAAATCTAGAGGAAGTGCTATTCATGATCCAGGAGCCACAAATAGCAGAGATACATATACCAACTCCAACTTACAATCGTACGCCAGTGAAAACGACAAACAATTTGAAAATCGTTGGAAACACAAAGAATTCATTACAATTTCAGAGAAATCAAAATCTGATAAAAATACCGAAAGAGAAAACTATTATAATACAAACCCCGACGAATCGGGCGCAAATACCGCAAACGAGAATCGCGAAAACTCGTATCATAAGAGTACCCTTTTTACCAAGGTCGGAACAATTAACGCTTATAGTGAAAAGGAACCCAATCAAAACACAAGGTTTAGTAAAGAATATAATTACGGAAACGCATTTGAACGATCAGAACACGTTTATAACACACCCGCAAGCGCCGGTGACTACATTGACAGGCACAGATTGCAATTATACATTGAAATCCTCAAACAATTTAGCGAATATAATTTCGGTACAAGAACTACCCCAAATACCTATTGCGACAAAAACAAAAACGAAACCAACAACAACGTCAATGGCGACGCAAACGCCAACTATGACTTTGGCGTCTATGGCAGGAATTCAGTTGACAAGTACAGACTCCGAATTCCTTCAGGATATGAGTGGAGCAATGCCTACTGCTACAGTTGAAGAGATAAATGTTCCGGTATTCATTGATGGTGAGTACTGTGTGTACAACACATGTGCGTATTAAAGCACTGAAGGTCATTAATAACATAACTGCGTTAAGGCAAAAATAGAAAGAAAAAAAATTCATACGTCAAACATATTTTATATAAAATTCATTAAAATAACTAGACTGCCGATGGCTTATGATGCTTTAAATACATGACTCAGGCACATAGCTCGCAAAATCGGTTCAGTTACATCACATGATCGAAAGCTAACATCACAGTGCAATGAGCCATTGTTTTTGAAAACCTTGGAACAATGAACAAAAGCAGTTCACCAAACGTAAATTTCTGTTATTTTATTGCAGTTTTTTTTGTTCTTCATATATATATAGCATTTTTCAGATTCAGAAATGAAAATATTCACCGTTCCTTAGATAAATTCTAAGAATTTCAAACCATATGTTTATATCTTTCAGTAGATATATATGTAAGGTATGATGTAATTGCAATTATATTATATCAATATTAAATTTTGATTATCATTTTTTTATATTTCTCTAAATTTGTGAAAAAAACGAATCAAATATTTTAGCTCAAGTAATAAATTCATTTAGCGTGAATTCTATAAATTAGGAGAAAACCCTTTTTCTTAATAGCAAAACTTCTATATCTGCTGTCTCCACATTTTTTTTCGAATAAATGTGTATTTTAGATTAAATCATGAAAACTAACTAACAACAATCAATTATTTCTAACATTTATTAGATAGTGTTTTATTAACATTTTTATTAGGTTTTACATCTGTAAGATTCACTTGTTATGAAGAACAGAATTTAAATTTTACTTTTAAAAAATCATTATTAAGGGAAGTAAAACTCTGCATTTGTGGAGATTTCGTAAATCTACTACTTTGAGAATATAATTTGTCAAGAAACTGCTGGTATGGTCATCTGAAGAATTCCATTGAGTTAAATTTAAATTCTTGGATTTAAACATTTTTCTTTTTTTTTTTTTGAATAAATCTTTTTATTTAAAGATTAATATTTTTATAGTGACAATTTGCTTATAAGCCATTTGATTTTTCATTCATTTATTTCTGTTTATTACATCCGCTTCGAGCATTATTCACATCATTTTAAATCCATTTTCGCTAGCTATTTACTTATAAAGTATATACGAAAATACGAACAAGTGCTCTGTGTAGAAAATTTACGTGTTTTCAAGTATTTAGATAGTTCTTGATGGTTCAATAAGTTGATTATATTCTAAATCGAATATTTGTATCTAAAAGTTTTGTATACAAAAATGTTCTACCTGTAGGAATAGGTAATCTGTTCCATTTTTTATATACATTTTATTCTTGTTTTGTCTTATATATATATAAAAAAGGGAGTATTCGAAGGGAAATAGATCCCATTCTTGGTATTTTTAATTAATATTTAAGTACTTAAGTACAACTGGAAAATTAGATAATAAAACGTTAGAAGCAACAATAGACGTGTTAATATTAGTCTTGAACCAATAAAAATATTACTTTTCACATATATATTGATATGTATATGAATAAAATTGCAGCTAATTCCTATTATAATTAATTTAGTAAATTGCAACAAAACTGTTAAATAATATTTTCTAACATATCACACGTCCATTTCTTGACACAATCCTATAAAATTCTGTGATACAATTTGTAAATTTTCATATTAATAAAAAAAAAAAAATAATAGTTTTCTAGACAATTTCTCTCTAATATTAAATAATATATAGCCAAAAAGTGATATTCTTCTTAGGTTAGTACTTAGTTTAAAAGAAAAAAATTTCTATATAAAAACAAAAAGTAACCGTATTCCTCCTCTGTTATATGACCAAAAGCCTATCTTTAACTTTCGCTTAAAATAGGTACAACCAAACAGTATCAAAAAACAGCATTATACCGATATTTTCATATGGGGACAGTTACTTTTTTTAATTTATTTAAACGTTCTTAGATTCTGAAATTACTTTAAAATCAAATATAATTATAATTCACTTATATGTCAGTGTATATATATCGGTTTCGGTATATGATTACACAATATAATTTATGACAAAACTAATACAATGAACCTGTGTCCAGCTTGAGGCTGGTCTCTTCCTTCTTATCATTAATATCTGTAACTTGTTAACTATCATCAACAACATATCCGCTTTCATAGCAATTATAATAAAAAAATCTTTTCGAATAAGTATCGAAAATATTTTCCTCTAATTGAAATAAATTTTGTGTCTTTGCTACATATTGGTGTGATATACAAATTATTTAATAATCAGTGTTTGTTAACTGATCTGAACTTTATATCTGAGTTCAATACCTTTATAACGTAGACCTTTAGGTTGACTACCTGTTAATCTGATTTTTTTTTCTGTAAGTATTGAATAAGTAATGACGTAGTGAAGAACAACACAAACTTTTGTGTGGCACAACCTCTTTAAATTTTTTCTTTAAATTAAAATACCATTATCCTATATCACATAGTATTAGATATTTGTATGTTCAAAACTCGAGTATCGAATTGTTCACGTTTTAGTAACATATCCAGTCATTTTTTTCTTGTTATACTAATGGCACTTTTTAGTTCCTACATTGTCGCGAGTTGGGCGTCATAGACCATGCTTTTACGAAACCTCAAAATTTTTAGTTTAGTCATCAAATACCTTTATCATCGTGAGTTGGACATCATTGTTTCTATATAGTATGTAGTTTGCAATAGGGACACGATTCAATACCCGCAGTGTGGTGTAGATGACAGTGTAAATTTTAGAACCATCTATATCACAATAATGCACACAGCTTACTATAAAAGTGTTGCCATCATTACCTTTTAAAAAGATATAGTCCTATAGTTTAGTTAGCATAAAGCTCTTTCAAAATAATATGAATTAACGTCTGAATGACGTATTTTAACATGATGGTATTGTCATACATTTACGATCGATTTGTTGCTTCAAATGGTCAAAACTATCGCGTAAGGCACGAAATTTATATTTTTTTTACATTAATTATTTTCATAATAAGATTTTTTTTCATCATTATTTTATTGTGCTCTATGATTAAATTTGTTAGAGTCAATAGATCAAATATCAATAATAAATTAATTGGTCAGAAATCTCCATTCTTACGAATTATTCGTATAAAAAATCTATTCGAAGTCATTTTCTTTACATTACTTCGCGTTGTACTCTAAATAAACTTAATGCACTATATTCCTACATACGTTTTCTATATTCAATGTTATCCAAGTTGTTGGAAAAACCCTCAATTCAATATCTTAAAGTCAACAATTCAGGTAAATAGTTGAAATCGTATTTTATTTTTTGGTCTATTAAATATTTATTTGAAATTTAATTTAATCCATTTTTCAGATTTTCTTTTTCTTCAGAAAACCACATCATTTTTCTACTTTTGTAAAATGAGTTATTATTCATTTTTCTTTTAATTTATTGTTTTACTGATGCAAGTTTTATTTATATGTTTTGTAAGGACTACTTGGTCAATGTTAAGTAATAAATAAAAATATATTATTACCGGTATTTCGACTATAGACTCTATAGAGTCATCTATTTTCTTAATAGAAACTATTATATTTAATAGATAGGTTTTTCAAACAGTAATAAATTGCAACTACTATTTAATGCATTGCAATAAAAATATATATCTAATTATTCATAAATAATATTTTGGGACTGCAAGGGTTCAACCAAGGGTAAACTTGTACTCTGTCTAATTTAAGCTCAGAATCAATGTTAATTAGCAGCCAATAGTCCAAAATTGAAAATTAAATAGATCATTATTATATTACAAATTGCAAATAAAAACATTGCATCGTTGACGCATCATTTTTCTACAATTCGTCTCAGTACTGGGCTACAATCTATTTCTTTTTTTGCCAAAACTCATAAAGTTATTAATTAAATCATTATAATTATCTTACATTATAAATTAATACTCATACGTTATAAATTTATGCGCCTGTAAAAAAAAAATTCTATGCAGTTCCCTTTAGACATAGTGCATGAGAGATAGGTAGAATATTCCTTAACCAAAAAAAATTCATGTATTAGAGTATTTGTATAACAAAAAGGTAAAAGTACAATCTCATAAAACAATTAGGGATAAAGTATGTTTTTTAAAATATTAATTTTCTAACACCATCATTTCCAAATCCATCTAAATACGAACCTATATGTATATGTCAAACTATTTGAGCGAGCTATTATATTAATTCTTAAAATTTTTATTTGTTAATCTGCTTTATTCTTAATATACATAGTAAAATTTAAAGTATAAAAGTGTAAGGCAATTTGTTTAACGTTGCTTCAATGTTTTGATTCTCAGAACGATGCAGAATTCATAGTCAAGTGTTTTGATTAACCAGAATTTTGATCTATTATTCACTACTTAATTTCACATAAGTAGAGAAAATGATCAATACTTTACTTAAACAGATCCTATTCCACGTCGCAAAATTATAATGGAAGTTTATTAAAATTCCGATAACTTGAGTAGAAAGTGTGTATTAGTGTTTGCTATAAAACGATTTCTGAAATATTAAGCGTTTTTATAACTCAAGTTATTTTTTCTTTATCGACTTTTAAGAATCTGCATTTTGGTTAATATTGAAAATGGACCACGTCACCTTCCTCAAACTATACAATTTTTTTCGTTTCTTAAATTAAGGAATTGCCTTATCACGCAGGTTAGATTAAGTGGTATATTGTTAGGCCGCCTAGGGAAGTGACACTTAGTATACAACCATTTATTTTATGTAACCAATATCTCTTGCATAAGTTTTATGTTTTACATAAAATAATTGACATTCTTAATTGAAGTAACATGTTATGTATCTAACCTTACTTTTAATCTTATCTAGAAAGTCCACAAAAAAATAGCTTTCTTTGTTTTTGCAATATTTCCAAATATGGCATTTTGAATAACTATGAACAATTTGCCTTTGTAAGTTTAAAGAGAAATGATTTTTTTTTCTTTTTTTTGTTAAACTGATTGG